AAAAAAAAATAAAAAAACAAAAAAAAAAAAATAACAAGAATAAATTTAAAAAAAACGAGCACGAGAGAGAAAAATCATATGCTCGAAGAGCAATTAACGAAAGTTAATCCCGCAGTCCTCGTTTGCTCGTTTGTTTGCCACCCACACGCGTCAGTCCCTTGCGCCTTATCGCTCGCAGACGGCGTAAGACGACAAAACGTCCCGCTCTCCGGAGGTGCAAGTGAAAAAAAACAAAAAAAAACCCAAAGCTTTCCTGCTATCGCGCTCGTGTGGATACGATTAACCAAAAAAAAAAAAAGAAAGAAAAAAAAACATATTATTGTAACTTCTGACAAATATTCTTTCTCGCACGCGGATATGATGGAGTTGGGGGGAGGGAAAAAAAAAATCCAAAAAACCGAGAGCGCGGTGTAGTTGTTTTTTCGCTTTCGGCAGTATCGAGAGGGGGAGATAAGGAGGGGGGGAGGCCACTCACGGCAAACCGCATTTAAACAATATTAAATTTACTGCCAGGTATAATCATGCTCTCTCTTTTGGCCGTGTGTCAAAAGGGCGCCGATGCAGGAGGAAAACAAGCGAGGGGTGGCTCACGTTGGAGTCGCATAGCCGGTGCAGGGGATGTATATACGCGCACAGACAGAGGCTGCATCAGGAAAGTTTGCGCATTTTATTGCCCCGACAGCGGCGGAGAAAAAATGTGTACCTTATAGGTGCGCGTTTATATGGCCGGTGCGTCAGGATCGGGTAACGGGACTTGGCAGATATAGGGAGCAAACAGTGCGCTCCGTGTATACTTGTATAGCAGTAGTGCATCGGAAGCAGGAAGAAAGGAAAGCGACGCACGTATACCTACTAACGCACATCAGAGAGACGGCAAGAAACATCAGCAGCACGTTTGCACTTCATTGCGGAGAGTAGGTATAACGGGGAATCTCTGCCGACCTTCCTTCGTCCGAGTGTCTATATTATAGACACATATACACGCGCGTCCCCGTCTTCGCTACTTAGTCGGCCAGGTTTTTCCAAAAAATTTTTATGGCCCGCCCGATGTGCGCTGTATCCACGCACACGCTTCGTGTATTAGCAAGTATATGTACATATACGTATATACATATACTCTTTGCTCGTAGGCCAAAGTACCGCCGATGAGGAGTGAACGAGGGCCCCGAAATGTGCACGGGCGATCGGGAGAAATATATAGCAAGCCGATGCTTAAATCCCTCCGCACGTTTGCCGCTCTTCTGCATCAACGTTGGCCCCCTATGCGTTGTGTCTTTTACTCATACATGAGAACCAAATTTACGATCCCACGTGCCCATTGGCTGCCGATTTTTTCGCTCTTCCTCGCGTGACGGTACTTGTATTCGTCAAAATCACGCGAGAGATTGACAAATTAAGGTATATCATGTGGGTAAGTACATGCGTTTCGAGGGAGAAATGATGTGCATGCACGCATTGGATAAGGCCCCAAGAGTCGGCCATTGCATCGAAGCGAGGACAAGAAGGAGGAGGAGAGGTATACACATATCCGTGCAGCAGGCGGCCGGTCAGGCTCCGCCTATATAAAATAGCCTGCAAGAGCCAGCGAGTGTACCTGATGACCCACCTGCTCGGGGGGATCGTTAACGGTTGGGTGTATGCACACGCACGAGATAAGAGCAGGCATTAGGAGCAACACCGAGTGATTATATACTCGGTGCCCGTAGAGTGTCCGATTCAAAATCCATTCCCATTTTTAAGGTCTTTTTTTGCGCACCAAGTTGGAAATCAATTTTCTCGAATCCGATCTTTGTACCGATCGACATTACTATTCGCGGCAGGATCGCTATCGCGATGAGCTTTGCGCACTTGGACGGAATTTTTGATCTATAAGAAATCACGAGTCTTTAAATTTTTATCAAGCATTTTTTTTTTTTTTTTGTCTTTTTACCACAATTGTGTAGTAAAAATTGATCGAATCTCACGTTTTTACGTCCCGTGTGCGTTTGGTACAAGTCGACTGCTGCCATCTGTTCGGAGACCTACGATCGAGTATCGAGTAGATCGACATTCTTGGTGTGTAGTAAAAAACCTTTTGGCTTTTTATCGGTAGCCGATGTCGAGGATTTTCTCAAATGGGAGCTGTGATTTTTTGCGATTTGAAATAATTTTTATTCAATTGTTCGAATAAAAATGAATAATATTAAAAACTGCTAATAATTGGTACACTTTTTACTTTGGTTTTACATATTCCATGTAGAAACCGCTTTTAGCCATCTGTGGGCTCCTTCCGAGAAATAAAATGTACTCTTTGACGTGGACGCCGGTAAAGAAGGAATTATGTCAGTATACGTATCATATAATATATGGCATATATATATCACAAAATCGAATGCGTATAATCCATTATTACCATTTTTACCATTTTGTGCGAAAACTGATTTTTTTTCACCTTTTAAAATGGTTTTGTTTGTTGAGTCAGGTTATAGGTATTTGATACCGAAATCGATATTTACGAAATTTTGACGCGAACGAAACAAAAGCTAGCGCGTGACATTCAGCAGGACGTGTATATGAGTAGACTAGAGTTTTTTTTTATAGCCTATACGTTTTAGATCCCTTTACCTACCTGTATTATATTTACGTTAGAAGTATAGTCATGAGTTTTAAAATAAAAATAAGTACACACGGAAGATCTCGTTTTCCTCGTAATTAAGTGAAATCCGAAAGAAATCGAATTCCCGGTAAAAATGAACAAGAGCAAAGGCACGACGAGAGCGAAAAGCCGCGCCGCTCCTTCGTTTAACGAAATCTGGACAAAAAATCGGAAATTAACCAAAAACATAGCCTTCTCCGTGGCGCTCGATCTCTTCCCCATCACGTCCCCGGAAATAAAGCGCGCCAGGGACGCCCTACGAGTCACCGAGCCCTTCTACCAGTTCCCCACCGAAAAGCACCTCTACGAGGTCATCTTGCCGCGAATGTACGACCAAGTGAAGCAAAAGGTCCAACAGACCGTAAGGAGCGATTTGGCCAAAGGTAATCTCGACTCGTCATCGGCCCGCGCGTCCATACTAATTCTCTCGCGTGTGCATAATACAAACAAGGCGTGAAGCAGATAGCCTTGAGCATCGACGGGTGGACGGGCCGTAGCGTGAGCGACCACATGTCGATAACGGCCCACTACTGGACGGCCGACTTTGAGCCCCGGCACTTTCTCCTGCAGCTCGAGAGCTTGCCCCGGGCCTGGAACACGGCCCACGACCTCTTCCACTTGATCCAGAACGTCCTGCTCAAGTACGGATTCGCCGGGGCCCCGAACGACGGCGGCCGCGTCGTCCACATAGTCACCGCGAACGGCCACAACGTGGTCGAGGCCACGGAGCTCAACCCCAACTGGATACGCGTCCCCTGCCTCGCCCGGCTACTCCAGCTGACCGTCGACGACGCCCTCGACCACCACGACGAGTTCAACGCCCTGAGGACCAAGTGCGAGCGCCTCCTCTCGGCCCTGTGGTCCAAGTCCGGGTCCTCCACCGGCGGCAGCCTCCTACGGGACGAGGTCGTGCCCTCGTGGAACTCGATCCACGAGATGTTCGACAGCTTGTTGAGGTTACGCGGCGCCGTGCGCGCCTTTCTCCAGGAGTCGCCGGACCTGCAGCTGACGGACACCGACTGGGAGTCGATGGAGCGCTACGTGGGGACCTTGGCGCCCCTCAGACAGGCCACCGAGATGCTCTCCGGCGAGCCCTACCCGCCCCTGTCGCTGTACATACCGACGGCGCGGGCCGTCTTTGAGCTCGTGAGGTCCGCTTCCTCGTTGGACGACTGTCTCGCCGACCGGCTCGGCGGGGCCATGTGCTCGAGGTTCGGCCGCGCGTTGAACGCCAACGAGTCCATGGTAGTGGCCATGGTGCTGGACCCGAGGTTCAAGACGAGGCTGCTATCGGACGAGGAGAGGCCCACGGTCGTCGACATCGTCAGGGACAAGATGCTGGAGACCACTGGCACAGCAGTGCCGAGGTCGAGGAAGCGGGCGAGTTCGCCGCTGGAGCAGTACCTGGCGCGGATGGGGGACGAGCAGAAGCCGAGCCTAGAGAAGGCGGTGGAGGCCGAGCTGGCGCACTACCTGTGCGAGGACGTCGTACCGATGGACTCGAGGATCAACGAGTGGTGGAGACGGCACTCCCGGCTGTTCCCGAGGCTCGGCGACCTTGCCAGGGTGTACCTGGCCGTGCCGGCCGTGCAAGTGAGCACCGAGCGGGCCTTCCCGAGGAAACGAGGCTTTGACCTCGACAGGAGGGCCGAGCTGCTCGCCAGCCAGGCCAACGTCTTGGACCTCATGAGGATTAGCTTTCTCAACCACAACTTGGGCTACTTCGAGGCCGAGGTCGATTGTCTCTGATGATTTTTTTATACATACCGTGTGGTGATGGATGTACGTATCGTCAAAATTCACGTCGTACATACAGCGAGTAAAACGCGCACAAGGAAGTTGTAAGGAAGACGTAGCATATGGTATAGTAGTATATATAACGTTAGTGCACGTATCATTTGGTTGCCACGGTAACGTCGTGGCGCGAAACGGTGCAAACAAATTTCACGTGGCAGACAGTCGCAGCTGGTCGCTGTCGGGCAGCAAGTAACGACCCTTGGTCGACAATGGCGACGAGCAAGCGAACGACGGACTTTGTGAGCGGCCTGCAGGAGAGGTCGTCGTCGCGGGATAAGAAACCGAGCCTAAGCCTGTGCTACCGGAGCGCTTTTTTCCAGCGGCGGATCGACGACAGCGGGGTGATAACGCACAGCCCCAGCCGAGTGAGAAGCGCCGCCGTGGAGAAGCAATCGTTCCGCGAGGACGGGTTCTACTCGATCTCGGACAATCCGCTGACGAGCCGGGTGGTGAAGCCTTACCCCTTGGAGAGCCAGATCAGCTTTCGGTCAGAGGACGAAGGAGTGGGAGTTGGGAAAGCTTACGGCAAGCTGCTGGAGATCGCCGTGAGGGACGTGGTCGTCCGGGACGAGGAGGGCACGGCGACGGGCACGGCGTTGCAGGTGGCGAGCGTGGCGCTGCTGTTCCGGGGCAAGGTCATCTGCCGGACGAGCCAGCCGTTCAACCGAAAGCTGCACAAGTTCTTTGTGAGGAACGCCCTGGACTCGAGCAACTTTAGCATGCAGGTGCAGAGCCAGGGTGGGGCTGCGAGTGGTCTGTTGCCCCTGCCGTTGCCCGAGAGGCGGGCCAAGCAGCGCCGGATGGAGATTGATTTTTCCATGAGCGATGCCACCGGCCGGCCGCGTTCCGGCCTCGTTGTGTGCACCGTGTCGCTGAGCATCGTGGGCTCGGATCCCGAGAGACCGGAGCCGAGCACGTACCTGTACACGCCCTCGGCGAGTGACCCCAACGACCCGAGGAACTGCTTCTCGCTGGCGCAGCTCAGGCGAGACAGGCACCAGAGCGCCAGGCAGGCCCGGTACTTTTTGCTACACGATCCGGCCCTGTGTCTCGCGACGGCGCTACCGCCCAGCCGGCCCGGGGAGCGACAGGAGGCGGTAACTGCCCACAAACTAGTTGCTTTTGTTTATTTCTTTTTTGTTTCTTCGATGTGCGCTTGAACCAGCTATAAATGAGAAAATTTGGTTGTTTTCTTTTTTTTTTTTTTTTTTTTTTTCTGGTCAAAAAAACAGTTAAAAATGCCGTCCCAAGCAGTAGCGTAAAATATATGTATATTTAATACCATTTCTATATAACTTCACTACGTACACGCTTCAGATAAAGAGGCGGCTGCAGGCCGAGAAGCCGGACACGGTGGTGGCAGAGCAGATGTTCTCACTGCTGGACATATCGGTGCGCAGCTGGTTCCAGGAGAGACGGCCACTCCGACCCACGTCGAGGAGCAGTGCCATACCGAAGCCGCACCACGCCGGGCGTTACAGGCAGGTGTTCACCGTGACGATACTCCGGGGCGTCGAGGTCCCGCTCAGGGAGGAGTCGGCCCTCGTACAGCCGATCGTCGAGGTCGAGTGGGCCGACATGCTGCGCTGCACCACCACCTCGGACGGCCCAGCCCCCGTCTGGCAGCAGACCCTCCAGTTCGAGATCCCCACCTCCAAGCCGATGAGGTGAGCCGCTCATCACCTACACGGTCAATTTTCGAGGGAATACATAAATAACGCATCCATGATACACCTGCAGTAGCTACGAGCCCTGCGTACAGCTCCGTCTGTTCGACCAGCACCCGGTCTGGGGTCTGCAGTGGCTCGGGGAGGCGCGAGTGCCGCTCGAGAGCGACCAGGGCAGTTTGCAGCAGTTCGAGCGCTGGATCGGCCTGTCCTCGCTCTACAGTCCGAGCGTCTCGTTCGGCTACGTCCAGGCGAGCCCGGGCCACTGGCACACGCGCATCTACGTTCTCATGAAGCTCGAGCAGGTGGGCACCCTCGGGACCCGCGAGATCGACACCAGCTCGGTGGACGCGCTCTGCAAGGCCATCCAGCGCTGCCTCGTCGTGCCGTACAGGCTGGCCGAGGTCGAGGGACCCGATGACGCGGCCAACCTCGTCATGCTACTCGCGCCCCTGCCCGTGCACTACGGGCCCCTTACGCCCAGGCAGGCCCTCAATCTCAACAAGGTCGACCACTACGGCCGCTCCGCCCTCCTTGCCGCCCTCCTCGCCGCCCTTGGCCTACAATCTTACGTGCTCCTTGGTTGGTATATATACCCTTACCCTTACCCTTACCATTATCGCTGTTGGCCATTTCGATTTTATCGGGCTCTAAATTTAACTACGCCCTCGCAGGATCCTCGCAGACGAGAAAGTGGGCCTCTTACGCCCTGACGATAGCCGAGAACGCGGACGCCACCCTCTGGGACGCCGAGAACGGCGAGCACTACGACCTGCAGGACAACCGATGCTCGCTCATAAGCGTCTCGCGCATCATTAACCATCACAACGTACGTTTCGCTGTTTTTTTTTTTTTTTTTTTTTTTTTTTTTTTTTTTTTTTTTTTTTTTTTTTTTTTTT